CGTCGGCGCAAACTCACAGTTGGGCCCTGGGGAGATGGGGATGTGCTCTTGGCTGGAACTCCTTCCCAGGAGATGCAGAGCCAGGAGGTTTCTCCTCAGCCCCTTTCCCTCAGGTGCTCCTCGTCAGACTTGCTCTCCAGACCCTTCCCCAGCTCCGTTGCCCCTCTCTGGACTCACCCCAGCCCCTCATTGTCCTACTTGTCATGAGGGGCCCAGCCCTGACCCCAGGATCATAGAATCATAGAATCCCAGGTGTTGGAAGGGACCTGGAAAGCTCCCCCAGCCCAGCCCCCCTGCCAGAGCAGGGGCACCCAGAGCACATCACACAGGAACGTGGCCAGGGGGGTTGGAATGTCTCCAGAGAAGGAGACTCCACAACCTCCCTGGGCAGCCTGGCCCAGGGCTCTGGCACTCTCACAGCAAACAAGTTCTTCCTGAGATTCACATGGAACCTCCTGGGCTCCAGTTTGCACCCACTGCCCCTTGTCCTATCACTGGTCATCACTGAGAAAAGCCTAACTCCATCCCCCTGACACTCACCCCTTACATATTTGTAAACATTGATGAGGTCACCCCTCAGTCTCCCTTTCTCCAAGCTAAAGAGACCCAGGATTAGAGGCCCAGCACAACAGCACCTCCACTCTCCTCCCCACCACAGCCAACACGCTGTGCCCTGGGCAGGCTCAGGAGGGCTGGCTGCAATCACTGAGCTCAGGCAACTCATTTTCTATACTTTTTTTTTTCCCCTCTTTTTCTATCCCCCCTACTTTCCCACCCATCCTTTTTCCATCCACATCATCCGTCCCAATGAAAACCTTTCCTGGGGGGGGTCAGGACGACCAATGTTTGCACAGCCCTTGGGGCCAAAACACCCTGTTCCAGGCAGGACCACCAGGCAAGCTGGGCTGAGAAGGTGGGATGATCAACCTGGCTCTGAGCAGCCCAGCCTGTTGCCACCTGCATCTCCCCATATGGTGGCTTTCAGCCCCAGGGAGAGGCAGAGCAGAAGGGAGGTGGAGGGAGGGCGTTACCAGCAGCTCCAGGAGGGCACTGGTCACAGGAGACCTCCTCACTGCCTGGCACCACCGAGCAGCCTTGGCCATTGCTGCAGGGACAGGCCCTGCAGACCTGGGGCTGCCGCGGGTCCCGGTAGGAGCCGAAAGGGCAGGTGACACTGTCGCCCACGTCTTCATCTCCCGAGTAGCATTCGCCTGGAGGAGGAAGGAAAGGGCTCAGGGCAGTTTGCTCTCAGCCCTGGGGGGACACCCTGCACCACCTCCCTCCTGGCCGTGCCACGGGCTGCAGCACCAGCACGGCTGGTCTAGCAGCCTGTGCTGGAGCCCTTGCAATCCCCACGACTGCCCAGATGCCCTTCATGTCCCTGCCCATCAACCAGCCCACGGTCCTGCGGGAGGGACCACGTCCTGCTCCTGCCCTGGGAGCCCAGCGAGATCCCACTGAGGAACCAGAGAACTGTTTGGGTTGGAAAAGACCTCTAAGATCATCAAGTCCAACCCTTAACCCAGCCCTGCCAAGGCCACCACTAACCCATGTCCCTCAGCACCACATCTACATGGTTTTGAAACCCCTCCAAGGCTAGTGACTCCTCCACTGCCCTGGGCAGCCTGGGCCAGGGCCTGACAGCCCTTTGGGTAAAGAAATTCTTCCCAATATCCAATCTGAACATTCCCTGACACAACCTGAGGCCGTTCCCTCTTGTCCTGTCACTTGTTGCTTGGGAGAAGAGCCCATTCCACAGCATGGAGGCTGCCCAGCACCCCCCAGAGGGGGCTGGAGCTCATTTTTCACAGCTGCTATGGCTCTCAAGGAGCCACATGTTGCCTTTTGTCCCTTCTAATCAACATTCAGATGTTTGGAAATTCAATCCCAATTCCGACTTGGAAAACGGCAACAGCTGAACTTCACATTCCTTGGAGTTTTGATGGCAACTCTGCTACTTTAACTAAGCAGGCAGTGAACCTTGTTTCCACCACTGAGCCCTCCAGACACCACACTTACTTTAAAAAGAAGTCGGGTGAAAATAGTTGTCACCTCTTCATCAGGAGGAGATGGGTTTCCTCTCACCCAGGAGCATCACCCAAGCCCAATTTGATCCCCACACATCCTTCCTGCATTTTTGGCCACAGTGTTTCCAGCCTTTGGGGCTTTTAACCCAAGATGCTCCCTGCCCTCCAGCCCCCCAAGCCAGGGGTCCCACCCCCCTCAGTGCCCCCTGTTTTCAGGACACAAACCCAAGGTGGTAGCAGCTCCTCTTACCCGTGTCGGGATCACAAATTCCTCCCCCGGGGCAATGGCAGGGAACGCAGGCGCTGAAGGGCCCCAGGCTGGGAACATCTCTGTGGAAGCCAGGGGCACATGTCTGGCAGAACTGCCCCCAGTGCCCTGCTGGGCACTCACACCGCTCCACCCAGGGCGCGGGGGCTCCGGCCCCCGCCTGCGCCGGCACCAGGGTGACGTTGTCCAGGTAGCCAGTGCCTGGAGGGAGCACAGACACCCACCTGCAGCAGGAGCAGCTCTACCTGCAAGCCCCCCAACCCCTGAGAGGTGCACAGGTCACAGGTTTCGTCGCAACCTGCTCAGGCTCCTAATAATTTCACTTTACCCTTCTGAGGGCACTTTAAACAAACGACTTTGGTTATTATTTTGAACACCCTCCAGCAGAGGTGTCTCCACCTGGAGACTCGGTGTCTCCAGCCATGAGCAGCCAACCCCAGGAGCTCCCCCCACACTTACTGTACTCCCCGAAGGTGCCTCGGATCCAGAGACCCGTCAGGTTTCCCAACAACCTGCGATACTCCAGGTGGTTCAGCCTCGGGCTCCAGTTGCTGCTCGGCTGCTCGTCCAACCTGCCCGCGGGAGGAGGGAGAAGTGGAACCGGTTTCAAGGACGTGAGATGCCCTGCCAAGGAGGTGCAGCAGCCCTCACCCACCTCCCTCCTCAGCTCAGGGCTTCGAAACTTCCACCCCTGCCACCGACCCCGAGCAAAGCACCCAGCCCAACCTCAGGACACATTTCCTACTACTCCTCTCACAGGATAACCTCCTCATTCAGGGGGGAAGCACCAGAGGTGCATCCAGCCCAAACCAGGCCACCACCTGCCACCTCCAAGGCATCACAGCCCCATCCAGGAACTCCTTGCAACCACAGCTTTCCTTGCTCGCCCTTCCCCGACTTCTCCAGCATCCCCCTGTACCTGAAGGTGTAAGTCTGGCTGACGCCACAAGGCAGGACCTTCCCCTGGGGCAGGAAGGGGGCAGTGACCCTCAAGCCATCTCCTTCCAGGACCACGTCGTGCAGAGATGGCTGGAGGCCCCCTCGGTCCAGCCGGTAATCGAAGGAGAGGATCTGGCTGTAGCTCAGCTGCTGGTTGCCAAGGAATTTTGCTGCGAAAAGCAGGGAGATAAACCTTTGAGCAGGGAGATAAACCTTTGAGATAAACCTCTGAAGGTTTGAAAACCTCCTAAGTGCTCAGTTCATGGGATCAGACAGAGCAGAGGGGGCACCATCACCTCTTCCCCCTCCTCACCCATCCCACGCCTACCGGGTGCCACGAAGTAGATGGGCTGGGGTGTCCTTGCTGTGAGGAACACGTCCTGGTGCCGTGGGGACCACTGGAGCTGGGCTGGGGAGCTGCTGCCCTGGACACCACGCCAGCCCTCAGCACCTGGACTGCCAACAGGGAGCAGTCAGCAGGGACAAGGAAGGTGTTTCCTGGACTCCAGGCATCTTTCTGGAGCTTGTGTCTTATCAAAACCTCTGGCCTCCTTCCCCCTTTGGATCTCCAAGGGGAAAACAAGCCAGGCTGGGCATGGAACTTCCCTCCCAGGTGGCAGGAAAGACAGGATGGAGGCCATGCTCCCTTCCCAACCTTCCACCCTCCTTCACCCCATGATCAAGCCCTCCCATCCATCAAAGCAGAGACTTCCAGAGGGGCTCCTCCAGCAGATGGAAGAGCAGGGATGGCAAACACCCCCAGGAGCCACAGGGATGTCCCGCTTGGGGCTTCACCTTGCTGGAAGGTGGAGGTGATGTTGTGGGCACTGTAGTTGTCTGCACTGACACACGTGGCCGAGTGCCCGTAGCAGAAGCAGGGGGAGCATCCCAGGGGGTTCCTGGCATCCAGGTTATAGAAACTCCCCTTGCACCTGGGGAAACACAAGAGAGTGACACCATCCCAGTCTGTTTCCTCCTGGTGGGCACAAGCAGCTCCCTGGCAGCAGCACAGACCCTGGCACGGCTGGAGGGCACGGCCAGGGATGCACAGCAGGGATCAGGGATGCACAGCAGGGATGCACAGCAGGGATCAGGGATGCACAGCAGGGATGCACAGCAGGGATCAGGGATGCACAGCAGGGATGCACAGCAGGGATCAGGGATGCACAGCAGGGATGCACAGCAGGGATGCACAGCAGGGATGCACAGCAGGGATCAGGGATGCACAGCAGGGATGCACAGCAGGGATGCACAGCAGGGATGCACAGGAGGGATGCACAGCAGGGAGGGGGAGGCCGTGCCAGGCAGAGCTGCAGCAGGTCCTCCTGCCACCCACCTCTCACAGTGCTCCCCGGTGACTCCCTCCTTGCAGACACAGCGGCCAGAGGGGCAGCCCCCCAGGCTTCCAGCCGGGTCACACTCGCACTGCAGGCTCCTGCAACGGGGACAGCAGGAACCTCCACTTGGATCTCCAGCCCAGCTGGGAGCCCAGTGCCCCCAGTGGGCAGCAGAGAACCCCCCCCCAGCCACCAGTCCCGTGCTAGAAGGGGGAAAATCATCAGCAGAGCCATCTCTAAGCAATCCAGCTGCAGCCAGATGCCAGGCTGAGATGGTGCCCAACGCTACAGCCCCAGGACACCTCAGAGCACCAGTTGCAACCATCCCAGATGCCTTTCTCCAGAAACCTGCACCTACAAGAGCTAAAGGGAAGCTCTGCTGGGCTTAATAGACCTGGCTGAGCTCCAACAGGCAGCAACACCCCCGGGAGACTTGGGCAGGGGACCAGACCTGGCAGCGTGGCAACCCTCATCCCCACCTTCTGCCTGCTGGGGGGCCTGAAGGAGCAACGGTGGGATGGAGAAGACAGCAGTGAGGAAGGTGAAGCAGAAAACACCTCAAAAGGTGTGCAAACAGGGGTCTGTGCAGAGGAAGGGGTCGATTTTTTGCATACAGGGTCGGTCTTTGCAAGTGGCACCACCACCGCCTGCAGTCCTGAACCAAACTGCTGCTGTGTTTGCAGCCACCACGGGTTCCTCACAGAGGCTGAGAGAGCTGTAGCAGCTTCCCCCCCAGCTGTGCCCACCCCGCTGGTGGCCACCAGCACTTACTGCCCACTCCTCTGGCACCCAGCCTCAGAGAGGGAGTGGAAGCCTGGCTGGCACTGGTCGCACTTCTCGCCCATCACACCAGGTTTGCAGCTGCACTGGCCGTGGCTGTCACACTGTGGGCTGAGGGAGCCTGCAGGGAGAGGGGAAGGAGGAACTCAGCTGGACACCTCACCCCAGCCCCTTGGTGCAGCTCTGGGGCAGCCAGTGCTGCAGCACAAGTCCAAGCTCAGCACCAGAGCCCCTTGTTGAGGTCCCAGCTCCAGGCTGAGGCAGCAGGTCTGGCTGTTCCAGCTGCTCCAGCCTCCCTGACTGGTGCAGGAGACTGGGAGGAGATAAATCCCAGCAGGCACTGACCAGGTGCCCAGGACCAGGCCTTCTTCTCTACTAGGAAGGCCATTGCAAAGGACGAGCTGGACACCAGGCACACAAGCCAAGAGGAGAATGACTCCTTTTTTTTGCCTGCCCCTCTGCTAGTAGATACCTGGGAAACTATTTTGGTGCCACCACAAGGACCTTATGGGACTCCTCCATTCCTGACCCACCACTGTGCACATGCAGGCACTGAGGGGAGGGGATGTAAGAGCCACAGTCTTGCCTCTGAGCCCCCCTGCTGGGCCAGCACAGGGGGAAACCATGGGGGTATTTATCCTCCCAGCACCTCAAAACCTAAACCATATCCTGGGCTGCATCACCAGCAGGTCAAGGGAGGAGATCCTTCCCCTCTACTCCTCTCTGGTGAAACTGTGTCCAGTTCTGGGGTCACCAACACAAGAACAACAAAGAACTGTTGGAGTGAGTCCAGAGGAGGCCACGGAGATGATCTGAGGGCTGGAGCAGCTCTGCTCTGGAGCCAGGCTGGGAGAGCTGGGGTTGCTCAGCCTGGAGAAGAGAAGGCCCTGGGGAGCCCTCCCTGCAGCCTTTGATATGTAAGGGGGTCAACAGGTGAAGGTGAGCCCTGCACAGGCTTGGAATTGCATCAGAAAAGCCAAAGGGTCATTCCCAAGGTCACAGCACTGAGCCTCAGGAGGGCACAGGGTGTAATGGTGGAGGCTTCTCATGGGGGCTTGTGGTGACAGGACAAGGGGCAGTGGTTTTACACTGGAAGAGAGGAGGTTTAGATGGGACATGAGGGAGAAGAGTTTTATGATGAGGGTGGTGAGAGCCTGGCCCAGGCTGCCCAGGGAAGCTGTGGCTGCCCCATCCCTGGCAGTGTTGAAGGGCAGGTTGGATGGGGCTTGGAGCAACCTGGGCTGGTGGGAGGTGTCCCTGCCCGTGCAGGGGGTTGGAAAAAGTGATCTTTAAAGGTCTCTCTTAACCCAAACCCTCCTGTGAGTACTTTGAGGGGCAGGTGTGTTTTGAAGCCTGGACCTGCTGAGGGCTCCAAACGGGGGTGGCACCAAGGAGGAGGAGAAACTCCCCCTTCTGGTGCTTCAACACAGCCCCAAGGTAACCCCATCCCAGGGTAACCCCCCCTGGAACCCACCTGGCCTCACCTTTCCTTCCCACGACCTCACCTGGTGCAAGGGGGGGGGGGGGGGCAGAACTTCAGCTCAGCCCAGGCGCTCAGCAGAGCCCAGGGACTCTCTCTAATCCCCCTGAGCACCCCACCCCGGGGCAGACACCTACCCCAGGCAGGGGCAGACACGTACCCCGGGGGTGGCAGCGGCAGGGCAGGCAGCAGGTCCCGTCCCGCCGTCGGAAGAAGCCGTCGGGGCAGCGCTCGCAGGGCGGTCCCGCCGCGTCCCGCACGCAGCGCCAGCCCTGCCCCGTGTCCCGCAGGAGCTGCCAGTCCAGCACGCACCGCCTGGGCATCCCGTGGCACTCGCAGGCTGCCGAGAGGGGGAGAGAAGCCGGGAGGTGAAGGGAGGATCTACAGAGCTGGAAGGGCCACCCCCCTTGGTGCAGCCGAGGAACAAGCCCAGGCCGTGCACACCTTGCTCTGCTCATCGTGTTCCCCGCACACCTGGGGGCGTCAGGCACCCCTGGCCCACCCTGCCCCTCACCCCTGCACCTGGGGGCTGTTTGTACAGTGAAGGTGGCAAGGCATTGACCCAGAAAAGGTGACAGATGCCCCACTCTTGGGAACACTCAAGCTGGACAGGTTCTGAGCCACCTGGTGTGGCTGAAGATGTTCCTGCTCACTGCAGGGGGGTTGGACTGGGTGACCTGGGAAGGTCCCTTCCAGCATAACCCTGTCTGTGACCCACTGCCAACACAGCTGGGGATGGACAAACCCCCAGGCCAAGCAGCTCCTCTCTCTGCTGCAGCACAGGAAGGGTTTCCCTTCCTTTCCCTTCCTTCCTTCCTTCCTCCCTCCCTTCCTTCCTGCCTCCCTGCCTTCCTTCCTGCTTTCCTGCCTTCCTGCCTCCCTGCCTTCCTTCCTGCTTTCCTGCCTTCCTGCCTCCCTGCCTTCCTTCCTGCTTTCCTGCCTTCCTGCCTCCCTGCCTTCCTTCCTGCTTTCCTGCCTTCCTGCCTCCCTGCCTTCCTTCCTGCTTTCCTGCCTTCCTGCCTCCCTGCCTTCCTTCCTGCTTTCCTGCCTTCCTGCCTCCCTGCCTTCCTTCCTGCTTTCCTGCCTTCCTGCCTCCCTGCCTTCCTTCCTGCTTTCCTGCCTTCCTGCCTCCCTGCCTTCCTTCCTGCTTTCCTGCCTTCCTGCCTCCCTGCCTTCCTTCCTGCTTTCCTGCCTTCCTGCCTCCCTGCCTTCCTTCCTGCTTTCCTGCCTTCCTGCCTCCCTGCCTTCCTTCCTGCTTTCCTGCCTTCCTGCCTCCCTGCCTTCCTTCCTGCCTCCCTTCCTTCCTTCCTCCCTCCCTGTAAGCACAGATGGCAAAGGAGACTCCAAAACTTGTCCTGCTAAAAGCACAGGGAACTTCCCTGATGACTTCAGGGACAAGGGAAAGATCCTTGAGGTTGTGTCTGGTCTTACCCAGGCTCTGACCAGGAGCAAGCCCAGAAGGGAAAGCTCAACTGGCATTACCAGGCCCCTCCATTTCAGTCTGTGATGAAATTGCCCTCTAGCTGAGCACAGGGATGCTGAGGAGGGGTTTGTGATCACAGGACCTTGGCAGAACCATGCCAGCCAAGAGGGAGATTTAAAAACAAAATAAAGGTTGTGGCAGGATGACACAGGTCATCTCACCCCACCCTCCCCAGGAAGAAAAGCTGCAGCTGCCACATGATGGACACCAGGAAGGGCAGGTTTGAGATTTTCCATCCCACCACAGCCAGGACTGTGGGAACTCTGCAGAGCAAACTGTCAGGTATCTCCCCAGACATCCAAGCACTCTTCCTCATGGCTTTGCCCAGGTGTTCTCCTGAAGCCACTACTCTCCTCCTTCTCCAGCCCTCAGCAGCCAGCACTGGAGTGTTTAAACCTGAGGACCTTTATTTCAGACACATCCCTAAGTGCCACCAAGGAGAGCAGATGTGCCTGAGAGAACAGTTGTCCAAGACAGGCTGCAGAAAGAAACACCCTGAGGGAACGCTGAGGATCAGCAGGGGAGCAGAGCCTGCTAACAAGCTGCTTCAGACCACCCTGCCACAGCCATGAGCTCCTCAGTGCCCACCTCTGGGACACCAGGAGCAGCCTCCAGCTGCCCATCCCCAGCTCAGGCCACTTCTGACAGCACAGGGAGGTGGAGGGAACCCAAGAGCAAGCTGAAACCTGCAGCATGGATGAGGACAGCAAGTTCTACTAGATACACACAGAGGCTCCTCCTTCCTAGAGCTCTTCTGGCACAGCTTAGCCCCAGGATACAAGGTCCTTGTCCTCTGGAGCTGTGATTCCTGGGACCAGGCAAAGCCTCCTGTGCTCACCGCCCAAGCATGCACCTGGGCACGGCCCAGCACCCTCCCACATGCCCACCAGCACCCACATTCCAGAGGCAGGCACTCAGCCAAGCCAGCTGCCAAGAAGAGAGGTGACCTCACACGCCAGCAAACAGGGAGAGAGATTTTTCCAGTGCCAGCAAACACGGCTCTTCCCTTGCAGCACGGCTGCCAGCACAGCAAGAGGTGGGCTTCTCTCACCCCAGCCTGCTGCTAGAGGACCTCTGGGTGCACATCTCCTGTCCCTTAGGGTATGAGCAAGCATTGAGAGCCCCTGGGACACCACCAGTGACCAAAGGGCAGTAGGAACAACCCACCAAAAGCAGCAGTGTGGGCCTCTCAAGGCGTGTGCCCTCAGCCCCCACACTGGGACTGCTCGGGGTCCATCCCACCCCATCCCCCTGCACTGCAGTGAGAGCATCTCAAGTTGGAAGGGACCCAGAAGGATCATCAAGTTAAACTCCACCATGCAGCACCCTAAGAGTACATAATCCTGGGCTGCTAAATTACAGGCATGAGCACAGCTCCCCCAGGGAGCAGAAACCTCTCCCAGGTCTGACTCCACAGCTGCAGCCCATCCAGAGCCTGCCCTCCAGCCCTGCCACAAGTTCTGTTCTGCCCAGCCATTTCAGATGTTGCTGCAGACCAGTGCCACCAGCTTAGCTGTTCCAGTTGCTGGTCTTGTCCTGGAACCCTGAGAGCTCAGGCAGGTTAATATTTACCCGTGGAGCATGCCAGAGCTGCTAGGAGATGGGGACCAAGTGAGGAGAGAATCCTTTTCGTGTTCAGGTGCCCTGGGGCTCTGCCCTGAGATCATCTATTTCTCAGGCAGCTGTGGAGAAGAGCAGGCTCCCCAGAGGAGCTTTGCAGCTGGATGTCTTCAGCACTACATCAGGTGGAGGAGGCCTGGGGCACAGATCCAGCAGGACATTACTCCCCCAGCTCCTGCCCAGCAGGAGAAACCATGAATACCACTTCTGTGCTGTGCTGAGACAAGTTCCCACAGAAAAAAAGGGCTTGGAGAAGGAGACAGGTGGCTTCAGACCTCTTGAACTGTCATCTTAAAGTAACAAAACCAGAGAACTAGGTTGGCTTTGGGTCTGAAAAGCAGGTCTGGACACACAGGGCAGCCTGCAAAGGCCACTCCTCTCACCAAGGGATCAACAGAGCTTTGCATGCAATGAAGCCTCCATGACAAGACAAGGCATCCTCTGCTCTGTGCTTCTAGGACTGTGACCCAGGGTCAGCCCAGTCTGCCACCCCAAGTCCCAGGTTCTCCCCATCACTTGTCTCCACAGCTTTCTTGCTGCTGGGAGACCTGCCTGTCTCCTGGGGCTCCATCAGCAGGGACAGACCAGGCGCTGGGAGCCAAAACCTGCCACTGGGTGTCTTCTCCTTTCCAACACACTGAGTTGGGCACCTCTTGGGCACAGTGGGGCTCTGACCTGCCCCATGTCTCCCCCCCAGCTCCTCCCCAAGCCCTGAGAGATGCCTCCAGCCAAGGCAGATGTGCATTGGCTCGGGCACAGCTCTGCACAGTCCAGAGTACAAGCACCCAGACCAGACACGAACCCAACCTGACCCAAGCAGCTCATTTACAAGCAAAACAGGATTACATGTCTCCATTACAAGCACACATCTAGTGCCAGGGCCAGAGGAGTAGCAGCACGAGAGACTTATCTACCCCACCAAAGCAGCTGGGGAAGCATGGAGGGTTGCTGAGTGTTGCTTTTACACACGCACAGAAAGAGGTTCAAGAGCCCTTGGGAAAGCAGCAGCTGCCCACACGCTGCCAGGAAGGGGGGAGAGAAACAACCCACACCAGCACCATGCAACAAGGCTGCTGGAATCCTTCTCCAGGAAGCAAGTAAAGCAAATAAAGTGTTCTTTCCTCTTTTTTTCTTTCCAAAAAGAAACACAAACCCGCACTTACTCAGCACTCTTTTCCCATCCCTTGCCCTGCAATCCAAGGGAAACTGACAGAGGAGCAATTCCAGCCCCTTGCCAGGCACAGAGGGAGGCTCATCCCAAGCCAGGGGGGGCAGAGGGGCCCTGGGCACCTCATCAGCCCCACAGGCTCACACAAAAGACAAACACTGCACATGTTGCTACAGCAAACTGGATCCTGGGTGCTGCCAGCTCTTCCTGTGGCTCAGGGAATGTGTGGGTTACAAATGAAGTGCTGGGTCCCTGGGTGATGCTCACACCTGGATCCCACCCAAGCAGCAGGGGCTTGTGCAGGAAGGGGTGAAGTACAGAAGTTATTTAAAGGGGGTGCCAGGGGGAGGAGAAAAAAGGAGATAAGAAGGAGAGAAGAAAGAAGGAGAGAAGAAAGAAGGAGGAAAGGAAGAAGGAGGAAAGGAAGGAGGAGGAAAGGAAGGAGGAGGAAAGGAAGGAAGAGGAAAGAAAGGAGGAGGAAAGAAGTCGAAACGCTCCTGGGATATTTAACCTCAGTGGAAATGCAAGAAGTGCCCCCAGACCCCCCTGTGCCCCCGGGGGGGGGAGGAGCTGCAGCC